TGGAGACGCTGCGCGCCGCATCCCGCACGTCGTTCACTGTGGGGAGCAGTGCCAGGTGACTCGGGGGTGACACCACAACTGGGGGCCCGCAGCACCCCAGGGACACAGCCTCCCACTCCCACTGGCACTCACGCTTGTAGTAGGCGAACTGCAGGTAGTGGTACATGGTGGCCACGAACTTCTCCACGAAGTAGCCACCCACATTGGGGGTGAGCTCGGTCTCGCAGTCCACCTTGCACTGCAGCACGCTCACAAAATGGTCTGGGGGGAGGCGTCAGGCTCTGCACCATAACAGCACCCCCCATGATCCTGCCAGCCCCCATCCCCCGGGTCACCTGCAATGGCGGGGTAGAAGTCCTTGAACTCCTGCAGCTCATAGGCGCCCTCGCAGCCGGCCAGGCAGTCCTCATACGCCTTGTAGTACTCGGTCCGCGCCTGCTCCATGTCAGCCGCGCTGCTCCGAAAGTCCCCGTTGTTGTACAGCTTCACCGACCGCACGAATATCGGCCGACCGCCCGAATACCGGCTGCGGTAGCCAAGTGGGTGCCGCTCACCTCCTCGCCCAGCTCTGCGCCCCTGGACCTGCCCTCTCTGTCCCAGCATGGCCCCCAGAGATGCTTTTTTGGGGGCAGGAGGTGAGCAACCAGGGCGCAGCGAGGGAGTGCTGCTTCCCTTGGGGTCCAGCAGGACCAGCCACACACTGAGCCCGCGGGATCCCCTCTCCTGCCCCCCCCATACCTCGTAGGGCTGAGCCTCCAGGTCCACCAGGTATTCATCCACATCCAGCATCGTCCTGTAGTAGTTCAGGTACTTCAAGGTCATCTCATGCTTGGGGTTCTTCTGCAGGAAGGTGTGGGCAGCGGACACCGCTTTCTCCAGCTTGTTCGACTGGGGGGGACGGAGAGGAGAGGCAGCAGCCAGGGTCGACACTAGGGGGGCTCAGCACCCACCCAGACCCCGGGCTACAGGGCAGGAGGGAGAGAACCCGGCACCCATAGCACCAAATCCGAGCCCAACCATCCACCAGTACAAATGGACAGACCATGAGCAACGCAGATAAACCCCCACACACCACCTTCCCCCTCTGTGCCCATGGTGGTCGTGGGGATGGTTCAGCCCCCCATGGATCCCCCCATGCAGCCAGGAGCCATCCACGTGGCACAGGGTTGATCCACGCATCTTCTCACCGCCACCGGCTGGGCCAGCGTTCCCCCCCTCTCCCCGTCCCT